TAAAACCAAAAGCCTGGAGACGAGACAGAGTTTGTGAAGTCAGTGCACTTATAATAATTATATATTTGTATATAATTATAAAAATATATTTTCAGTGGATCATGGTACAATTACTAACCCTGACTAAAGGTACTGAGATGTACCATTGAGGGTCCCACCCCAATGACAAGAGACAGTTTACTACCTTTATTTTTGAGAGTGCACATTACTATAGCAAGATAAAAGTTAGGAAACGTGCAGGAAATTATAATATAATATTATTATATTATTATTTCATAATATAATATAACATAATATAATATAATAATTATCATAATAACAGTCCAACATCATATTTTATGGCCATATCATGAAGTCTGTAAGTGTGGGTATATATCTGTCTTTGTGTGTAACTATGCCATAGACATGTTATGGTAGAGGTCATAGTGCTTAATGTCATGATGGCAAATGAGTACACTTAGCAAACATTAGCATGTGACATAAGTTGTCATATGTGGATCTCTGCACATTGGTGCGTGTGTATATTTGTGTGTTTGTGACTATGTTCCAGCACCACTGAGCTCTACATCAGAACCTGAAGGGGTGGCGTGTGTACATTCCAGCAAGCTATGCCAGAACAGGCCGTCCCACACAAAGCAGCTTTCTCAGACCTGTCCGCACAGTTTGGGTTAAACTCAGTTAATTGGCTTCCTGCTCAGAGTTATATCAACACGGCCCTTGTGCCTTCGACACTGTGGAAACTGGAGAGGAGAAACAATATGGCAGTGTTTGCTCACCCCTGGCTCACCAGTCCCTTTAGAATAATACAGCAGCTTAGCCTGGTTAGCGTTCCCATAGAGCTGCTGGGGCTTACAGGCCCTGAAACAAAACAGTGCAACCCCGGCACACACCTCCCAGATGACCCTTCTCTTGAGCAGCATCACTCATTTTCACACACTGAAGGCTTCTGCTGGCTCTCAGAGCTCTATAAATAAATCTCGGTGAGCGTTTGGCCTTTGCGTCGACCCGCTCCTCCTGCATGATTTACATGACACCATCCACGGTGGTTAAAAAAAAGTGGCTGCAAGGATGAAAGAATTCATGTTGCTAGAACAATATCTGACCGCTGATTTATAGAGCAATATCAAAACAATACTTTGCGGAATGGCAGATAACATTGGATTTTTTCTTTTCAATTGACATGTAGCTTATGAGGGCATAAAACATGAATGATTTTTTTGCGGTTCATGCTGTAAAGATTAAATATGTCATCTAGCATTGAATCCACAATGTTTCAATGCTTGTAAAGTGTGTGCAAACAGTTTGAATGCCTGGTACTCATTTGTCCATAAATGATTCAGAGTAGCCAGTTCTTCTCTGGGCCATTGCTAATAATGTTGACTGTCTACAGAATCTTGCATTGAGTAGAAAATTGGGGTGATCTGATTTTTTGTTAGAATGGATTCTTGACAATAATTTCTTATTTTCTGAAAAACATAGTTGATGCTAAAGCCATGCATTTTTCCAATAGAACACAGTTCTTCCCAAGTTCTCCCATTAAAGTCCAACAGTAGTAGTGCATTGTCAAGTTCGGACAGAATTCAGATGCTTGCAGACCAAACTGAAGTAAAATAGGTTTATTAGAAAAAGAAGCATCCAAAATCAAGGTCAAGCAGTCCAAAGTCAATAGCCAAATCAAGAACACAGTAACCGTAAGGGAAGTCCAAAAAACAGAGTCCAAAATCCAGAAAGGAAAGTCAAACCAGAAATACCAACAATACTAAGAGGGCTAGACAAAAGACAAGGTCAAAAACAAACAAAGCAATGGTTCTACACAGAGACCCAAACTAACAGTAAGGCTCTGTGAATAAAGGCAATACTTCACAAAGTGCAAATAAACTGAGGGGGTTTATATAGTGAGCTTAACAGGTTGGAGCTGAATCAGTAATCAGGTGAAGTGGAACAGTAGAGAGTCAGGTAGATCTGGGGTTATGTGATCAGGTGGAGTTTTCTGGGAAATGGAGTCCAGAGGCTGGGAAGTAGTAACAGTGGGACCGGAGAGAAGCTTGACGTGGATGATATTTCACATTATTTTTTTTTTTTAAGTTAACTAAAGCAGCTATAGCTAACAGGCACTTCTAATAAAACATACACAGCAGCTTTTACATTTATGTAATAAATTACTCCAAAAACAACACAGTACAATTTTGCTAGGGTTAGTTAGCCAGTCAGCTTGTATGTTCCATCAGGGTGAATAATTTAACAAGTTTAGAGAGACATATTTGGCAGCTGATAGCACCATTTTTAGTTTGTTTGAAAACAATTGAAGATGACAGTTTGGATAAGGTATGTTCCTCATATGTCATGATAACACTATTCTCTTTTTGTCTCTTTTTCTCTTACTACTAATGAGTACATGTATGTTTAAGTCATGCTTTATATATACTAGGTATACTAGTCTGTGCTGCCAACTTGAGCTCTCTAATCTATTTACACTGTAATTAAAGTATGTTTGTAATATGTAAAATGCTCTTCAATCACACACTATATTAAGGTATATAGTCCCAGTATATAATTAGTGTATTTAAAAATACAGTCAAGAATATTTGCTGAATCCTTATTGTGCTCTTGCAATACTGGTTCAGTTTACTTAAGTATTTATATTAAGTATTTACTAAGATGTACTAAAATACTAAAATACATTCTTACCATCCCATGCCATATACCTGTAATATACAAGTATTTTACCTCTAATACATATTAACAATATATGCAGTACTATATATGTAATCTCTCAATGCTACTTAAGTGTACTGGAAAATACAGTGCCGTTAAAAACTATTTGCTCCCTCACCAGATTTATTTTTTGCTGCTTCACATTTAAATGTTTCAGATCATCCAACTAATTTTAATACAAAATAAAGACAACTTAAGTAAACACAAAATGCAGCTTTTAAAAGATCATTCCGTTTATTGAAGATAAAGATTTATTCAAAATTTATTTCATGTGAAGAAGTAATTGCCCCCCCAAGCCTAATAACTGGTTATGCCACCCTCGCCCTTATGATTACTTGCAATGAGTCTTTCACATTGGTGTGAAGGAATTTTGGCCCACTCTTTTTTGTAGAATTGTTTTAATTCAGCTACATTGGAGGGTTTGCATAAACTGCCCATTTCATGGCAAGTTATCCAGGTTCTGCAAAAGCAAAGCAGCCCCAGACCATCACACTACCACCACCATGTTTGACTGTTGTTATGATGTTCTTATGGTGGAATGCACCATAAGAATGTTTGATTTACACAAGATGTAACGGGACGCATGTCTTCCAAAAAGTTCCACCTTTGACTCATCAGTCCACAGAATATTATCCCAAATGTCTTGGGGGTCATCTAGGTGTTTTTTGTCAAATGCGAGATGAGCCTTTGTGTTCTGTTTGGTCAGCAGTGGTTTGTGCCTTGCAGCTCTACCATGGATGCCATTTTTGCCCAGTGTCTTTCTTATTGTGGAATCACATACACTGACCTTAACTGAAGCAAGTGAGTCCTGCAGTTCTTTAGACGTTCGTCTGGGTTTTTTTGTGACCTCCTGGATGAGTCATTGTTGCGCTTGTGGTGAAATTTTGGTAGGCCGGCCACTCCTGTGAAATTTCACCACTCTTCCAAGTTTCCTCCATTTGTGGATAATGGCTCTCACTGTGGTTCTCTGGAGTCCCAGAGCCTCAGCAATGGCTTTGTAACGCTTTCCAGACTGGCAGATTTCAATGACTTTGCTTCACGTCTGTATTTGAATCTCTTTAAAACGTGGCATCATGTGCTGCTGCTTGAGACCTTCTAGCTTGCTTCACATTGTCAGATAGGTTCTATTTAAGTGATGTTTAGATTTGGCAGGTCTGGTAGTGATCATGTCGGGGTGTGGCCAGTGAAACTGAACCCAGTAGTCAATTAAATTTGGTTAACTGGTTGAATTAGTAGCTAATGGGGCAATTACTTTTCACATACTGCTAGGTAGGGCTGAACACTGTGTCTCCTTCAAAAAATGAAATCATCATTTCAAAACAGCATTTTGAGTTTACTTGGGTTTTTACTGTCTAATATTAAAAGTAGAAACAACATTGTTAAAAACACAGTCAGCAGTTTCTTGACTAGGAAAGCTCAGCAAAGGAGTGTGAAGCCCTGACAAATGTTAAAGTGTGCTCAGTGTATTTAAATGTCTTTGGCACGGTTGATCCTAGTGCTGTCCTGGACACTCATGTCCATGTTTCATCAGTCCCCTACAAAGGACAGCACTGCACAAAGACTCCTAGGCCAGTAGAAAGAGAGACGAAAAAGAGAAAAAGACACAGGAACCAAACGTTCAAGGAGCTTATCAAACTGCTAAATACCGCAAAAATGGAGATATGAGGTTTTCTTCCGACAGCAGCAATATTTATGTTTAAGTAGACTAATATCATATTAAAGTATACAGCTTTTTCACAAGCAAATACACTCATGCTTACATCTATGACTGGCAGTTACTGCTGGAATGTAGTAAATATTATTCATTCATGCTGTCAGTACCAGCTAATCATTAGCATGTTGCTAAGACCAGGCCCCCAAGACCGCATTGTCATTTGATGTAGGTGACCAAGGAAGGCGAGCGAAAACAGAAGGACAGCAAGTAGTCCATTTCTTTCATATTACTCTCCTACGTCCGTGGCAGTGAAACAGACAAATCTCAGACTGGAACTATCTACACAGTGGGAAGTTATCAAGGGACTACTGCATTCTCATTCTAACCTGAAACATGACTAAAACCTCCATAATTCAGCTAATAACCTTAGATAATGTTAGCATGTTTTGCACTGCTTGTAGCTTGCACTGCCAGCCTTAATTTTGGCATACCGGTTGTTATGGCAAACAGGTTATAACAAAACTTACACATTAGGAAGGTTTTCAACTGAAGCGACAAACAGCTATCCCACACACAGTAACAGAAAACAGGAGATTTATCAAAGTACATATTTCTGGTCTGTGTGCTCTAGATGATGCTACAGTGCCTGAAAACAAGCCTCCTTCACTCGAGGAACCTACTGTTCAACCCACCCTACAGGATCCGACAGGGCAGCCATGGGGTAACACACCATACACACACTCCTCTACTGTCACTCTAGATTTAGATTTTTACCACGAGATAGACACCCTCTTCCAGTGTTCTTCTACTTTTCGTATGCATTGTCTTTCTTTTAGCTGTGGTTCAGTAGGAAGGACGTTCTCAAGTCCCTATTTAAACATCATAATTTCACCAATGACAGAAAGAAGCTGGTTTCGGAAGCAGGAATTCAGTGCCTAGTCCCCATACTAGGGGACTTTTTTTTTTTTGGTCGACTGATAAGAATAGAGAACATAATAACAACCCCATTCTCACGTTAGGCTGCCTTTTTATGGTGAAACTTTCATGCTGCTTTACTTCAGTAGAACTTGCGTGAAACTAAATTTCATTTATTTGGTAGGTGGGCAAAATCTTGGGCGCCATCGAGGTTCCACTTTTTTCTAATCAAATGAAAGAAATTCAATTCAAATGAAATTCAATTTTGAGAAAGGAACATTGACATTAAGCAGCAAAAGTTTGGGTGCCCCCGCCCATGTTACGTTTTGTTGATTTGTTTATGAGCTGGAATCGTAGGGGAATATATTACAATCACTGAAAAACTATTATTAATTAATTATTAATAATTAATTAATAATTATTAATTGTTATTAATTAATTAATTATTATTAACTTATTACATAAATAAGGAGTATAGTGAATTGTATGTGGGCTTCAGAGCTTCAGGTGTATCAGTTCAGGTTTAGCGTTGGCAGGTAGCTTTCGCTGTTCTGCACCTTTATTAATAAAATGCTGCCATAAAAATCAAGCAAAATCAAACATAACATAAAATAATCGGTTTGCATTGCTGTCATCTCTGCTGGTCATGTAGCAGAAAGAAGGGGAAATTGATTAAAAAATAGATTAAAATAGCCCTGTTTCCTATACTGAGTTATTTCAAATGATAAGTTAATTTAAATAATAGTGTCATTATCAAGTCTTTATAAAATTCAAATTTAAAACATTATAAAAACACAAAATTTATCTTCATGCCATTGTTTTTGCCTGCCATAGAAATTTAACATAAGCTCACCTGACAAAAGTTTAGTCACCTGTGTCTAAAACGTACCTAATCGCGTTTAATACCTCCACGAATAACAGCTGCGATTCAAATTTGCATAGATTGGACAAATTTCTGGATGTAGGCAACATCAATGTTCAGCCACTCTTGCATTAAAGAATTGCGCATTTCCGTCAAATTTTTAGGATGCCTTCCATGTGGTACTTGTTGTTCCAGGTACACAAATTATTCTGAATGTTCATTATATCAGTCAGTCACATTTGAATGCCAGCCAGTCACTGTGAATGTGAGAACTGTCATCTTGGAATACAGGGATAGGAATGTTACATTTCTCTGTAAGATGATGAGCAAAAGGAAGAACCTGGTTGTCCAGCAGCTCAATGTAGGCACTGTGGTTTAAACCCTTTTCCCATAATCAAAACACCCCAAGAACATCACAGAGCCTCGTCCAACTTGGACCACACCTTGCACGCAGTCCTCATTGAAGGCTTCCTGAGGTCTACGATAAGCATGATGCCTAGCATCATTCACATACAGGCAGAAACGAGATTCATCTGACCAGATAACACATTGCCAGTCATGAACAGTCCAGGTTTTGTGTCTCTTTGCCCACTGTAACTGGACCACTTTGTAAGCAGGAGTGAGCAAAGGCCTCTTGCGTGCCACTCTGCTCCATATGTTCATGGTATGCAGTTCCCTGCAGAGTGTTCTTTCAGAAATTGGTTGTGGAGGACCTGCGTTGACTTCTAGAAGCAATTCTTGCCTGAAAGCGAAGCGATTTTTATTCACAAGCCCTGAAACACACCAGCGGTCCCTGTACTGTCATTTTCGTCTTTTGGCCACAACTCTGATGAGAATTTTCTGCAGACTTGGATTTTTGCCCCTGCTGGTAGACTCAAATTCACCTACTTCCTTTACACTGTGGCCTTTGGCATGCCCAAATGCAATCACTCCTTTTTGCCAATCACCTGCTTTGCGACCCATTTTCCACACACCGCATTCACTGCACTGTACTGCCTATTTTCAATCTATGAATCCCGTCACACAGCCCTTGGGTATTTATAGCCCAATCATCCTCGTGCAACGTCATTTGCAGGAGCCTGAAGCTACTACCATCTTAAACATGCAAGGTGGTCTAGGGAGCTTATTTGTCTATGAATATAAGGGGTACCATTGTGTCAAACACATGTATGCGTGTTGTCTGGAAGCCATACCACCCCGCCCCTATTGTTTTCTACCTGTTAAATGCAGTTCCACTACTGTGTTCATACTGTTCTATGCTTGTTCAATACCAATTTCTTCTGTTGAGCTTTGCATTTTATATATCCAGTATAATGTATTGCAGATTACCCTGATTAATTTTAAATCAATTCCTGTAGCAATCAATTTACACAGAAAGTTTTTCAATACTTTTCAAGTTTCACCATGTGGAGGCAGCCTAATATTAATGACTAACTTATGTTGCTAACCTAGCGTTATGTTTCACCAATATACTAAAAAGCAAGAAAAAGACAAATTCCTTTCATTGTACTATATTATATTTTTGATGGCAAAACTGAATTGAAAGGAGCATGCATAAACTGAATTGTTCTAAGCTGAACTGAACTGCATCCACAGCGAAGCCTCGTTTCAGTAAGCCAGAGAAGATGCGTAGGCGGTTTCGGGAGCAGCCGGTGGGCAGCTCTGTACGGCTGAAATGTTTGGCCAGTGGGACCCCTGACCCAGTCATCACATGGTGGAAGGACCAGATGCAGCTGCCCACACCTGCGCGGGGAAAACGGCATCAGTGGACCCTCACTCTGAAAAACCTGCAGCCGCAGGACAGTGGACGCTACACCTGCCGTGTGTCCAATGCTGCTGGATACATCAACTACACCTACAAGGTGGATGTTATTGGTGAGTCTGTCTATATTGGTGAGACTGTTAGTAACCGTTTACCGGAAGTAACCCTTAATTGTGTGACCCATGACCTCATATCTTGACGCTATCTTTTTCATTTTTGATGCTACCTTTTTCATTTTTTTCAGGTATGTGCCAAAATATATATATATATATATTGTTTTTTGTTTTTTTTTGGATTGGCAAACCCCCTATGCCTTTAAGGGTAAAATGGTCTGACCCTATATATATATATATATATATATATATATATACAGAAGTTATAAGGAACGTTTCATCCCAAGCTGCTTTTTGAATCAAGTGCGATACAGGACAGCCAATGAGAACAGAGCTCATTTACATATATCAGTCTTAAAAATCAGTAACAAAACATGAAGTAAGGGATAAAGACATAAATAGAAGACAATCAGAATAAAACAGAATAAAATAGCCTGTTTTTGTATATAAAAAAATGACAATGCAATTAGGGGATCTCAGGGGAAAAGAACATTGTAGGATACAGATCCTGTAAAGTATTTTATTTTATGTTATAAATTGCTCAGTCCAGCAGTTATTTGAGTTAGTGAAAAGGACTGCAGTGATTCCTGGACAGGGTTTATATTCATATAATTCCAGATGACCCTCCAAGAGGTCATCTAAGGAACTTCAGCTAATTCAGTATTGTAATGCCCCTTAAAATAGCACTGGATGTTCTCCTGTAGGGGAAATGTAGCAAGTCACTAAGAGAATGTTAAAAAGAGTGTGTCAAGAATATAATGATACTTATATCTCTGATATTGTCTTTTTTAAAACCTTACTGAGCTTAAAACTGATCATAGATCAACGCCTTCTCTCTGACGCATTTGATTCATGTTTTCAGATTCAGCTTTGTGCCTGATGTCCATTTTGTTTTTCTCAGAGCGCACAAACTCCAAGCCCATCCTGACAGGCACACACCCGGTCAACACCACAGTGGAGTTTGGAGGCACGGCCTCGTTCCAGTGTAAGGTCCACAGTGATGTGAAGCCTGTGATCCAGTGGCTGAAGCGGGTTGAACCAGGCACAGAGAGTCGCTATAATTCCACACTTGAGGTTGGGGGTCAGCACTTCATGGTGCTGCCCACAGGGGATGTGTGGTCTAGGCCTGATGGCTCCTACCTCAACAAGTTGGCCATCGTGAAGGCTCGTGACGAGGATGCAGGCATGTACATATGCCTGGGAGCGAACACCATGGGCTACAGTTTCCGCAGCGCCTACCTCACTGTACTTCCAGGTGGGTGGCTGCACCTACAACATACCAACATCACCGTCTGTAGTAAAATTAGTTTGATATAGTATGTAGGTTTTCACTCCTGGTCCATACAGTCCATATATGCACACTTCTTAATGTTTTAAACTGCTTGTTTTTGTAATGTCACAAAATCATATTTATGTATCCTTAGCTATTCAGCCTACAGCAGGTTAGGCCTGCCTATGCACAATGAAGTTGTAAGGAGTGTTTCAGCACAGATTTTGATGAGGCACAATACAGAGCAGTCAAACAGAACAGAGCTCACATACGCCTCGTAACTCCCGGTTTTTGATAACGTATATGTCTTGTCTAATGCCTAATGACCCCCTTGGTTAAGAAGCCCTGGCTTAGCATAAATGTCATGCATTACAAGACTTTGAGTGTCACTGATAAACTATTCTGAGTGTATATGTTTGTGCAGATCCTCAGGTGGAGAAGCCAGTGTCTCCCGCCCATCTGAGCTCAGGTCTCCCCTGGCCTTTGATCATCGGTATTCCAGCAGCTGCTCTCCTCATGATGGGCACCATAGTGTTGTGGTTGTGCCACAGCCGGTTGAGGCAAGGCTCCCTCCCGCCCCGTCCCGTACCCCACCGAGACCACCATGCCCCAGACAAGGACCCCAGCTCACCAAGCAATGGAAGCTCTGACTTCCCCGTACAGAGATTCATAGGGATTGGCGCTCCGGCCCTCAGTGGCCCTCCAAAGATTTATTCCAAAGTGTATACAGACATGCACACACACACCCACACTCACTCGCATGCACATGTGGATGGAAAAGTGCACCAGCATTTTCACTACCAGTGCTGACCTGTTAACCTTCCTTGCTAAGCCAATGCTGCTGCCCTGCCTCATGTAGGCAATGGGCCCTCCGTTTAGGACCACAAACATACTGTAGGTCAGGAAGCTGAGTGTGAACCACATTACCCACAAGCAGATGATGCACCTGTTCTGGTGAAACACATTCACTTTAAAAAACTCTCAGGGTGGGAAGAGTCTTGCATGTATTTGTAATGGACCAAAAGCTGAATGTGTTTTGTGTTAAAATGTACAAAACCCTATAATCTATCACAAACCAAAAAAGGAAAAATATATATATAGACATATGCAGAAATTTGGGTGGTGCTGGTCAAAGTGCATGTTTTGTTGATTTTTTAAGTGAAAATAAGTGAACACATCCTCGACAGATCCTCTGTTAATACATACTTATTGTATATTTGCCAAATTTAACATATTGGAAAAACAAAATAATTAAATAAAACAAAAAAAATTGTAATATTTAAGAATTTCAATGTATTTCCTGTAGAGGAACTTATTTACATGCAGAAAATCAACAAAACATGTAATATGACCAGGTGCACCCAAGCTTCAGGATACAACTGTGTGCAAAAGTGAAAAACCATCCTTAATTTCTGGCCTTTAAGTACAAGTTATTAATTTTTCAGGTAATATTTGTGAGGATATCAGATATAAAGTCATCCACTTAATAATAAAAAAGAAATTATAAAAATAAATTTAAAGCTACAGAGCAAATGGGACTCTTAACAACAGTGCAACATCTGGTAGACACCAAAACTGTTCCCATCAGATGAACAGCACTCACAAGCTTTCCTCTTTGAGAGAGAGGAGAAAAAGAAGCTGCTTCAGTTCTGAAAACATCCACAGATGTTTCTGTCGATCCTTCCACTGTGAGAAGACAACTCAGCGCTATGGGTCTGAAAGGACGTGTAGCTGTCAAGAAGCCTCACTGAGAAAAGGAGACAGACACATCAAACAAAGAAGCTGAACAATGGACTGACCACCTCAGAGTCCAGACCTCACCATCACTGAATGTGTTTGGATTACTTCAGAAAATGATCAACCAGCTTCTAAGACTGACCTTTGGAGGTGTGTCTGCAGATTTCTTTGAGAAACTGAAAGTGAGTCTCCTGAAAAGAATGGAAGCTGGAATAAAGGTTGAGAGTGACTCACTGAACACTGAAAAAAATATAGAACATTTAGTTGTTGAGGCTTCTGTGTAATGTGTATGTGTTTCTGTCTGTCTGCTTTTACACCGAAGCTGAAAAATTAATAATAACTAAATGAAGGGTAGTCTTTGACTTTTGCATATATTTTCATACAAAACAACTATAACAGAGGTGCTGTACAGATGTTTTTTTGTTATTTGAATATTATAATATGTGATTCTAATGCAAATGGAATGAACTCTGTTTACAACATGTTCCTATTTTTTTATATGAGTGTATCATAAACACATACTGTGGTGATTTTTTTTACTTTACTTTCTTTGTTTCTTAATGTGATTTGTGAAGAATTTACCCAGAATGGATCAGTCATGTCAGGGAAAAAACTGGCTGGGTGAAGAAATAGAAGGGGAAATAAAAGGGCTATATTTCTATTGGAATTTATATAACTATTACAGTGTGTATTTGACTCATCTCCCTGGTAATTGCAGTATTACTACAGTCTATCCTGTCTGGAATATGCAGAGAGTAACTTACAGCCATGCAGTTTGTTTACTTGCAATATTTGCAACGTGTGTTTTGTATTAGAGACATTTTGTAAGACTTTAAAAATCTAGTGTTGAGATGACTTTGTTTAAATATTGCAATATTAATATACATTATACTAGAGCAGCAGGGCAGGGAGACTGGTCCTGCCCTGCTGCTCTAGTATCATACCATATTCTAAAAATTGCACAAGACCCCTTTAAAGGCTATGAATGCAAGTACTGCTGCATGCTTGCTGCAATTTTATTTTTGGTGCTCATGTAAGTGTTGTTATGATAATATTTTTGTAATAAATATATGATTTTCTATTTCTCTCCTGGCTTTGGTATCTGAATGCAAAACAGTTGATGAGGTTTGTGTATTTGTATTGAGATATTAAAATTTGGCTGCCACTGAGGTCCATGTTGACTTTGTGCTCAGCGCTGTGTTAGTTTAACAGGCAGTGGAATGCTGTGAGAAAATCAGCTGGCTCTTTTCGACTGCGGGGGGAATGGGAGCAATAGTCGCAGCAGGATTAGCTGGTTATTGATATTGGGGTACAGTTACACTGACCCCGTGTAGCTGTTTCATTTTCCCCTGGAGATGGTGGAACCATCACCACTTTCACTATGCTGGATAGGTAAGCAAACCAACTCAAGGTATTTGTCCTACAGCAAAAAACATTTATTCATCTATTATACAATGAAACAGCTCCTTCCATCCCACCCTATCTCACCATACAATCTCCAATCAGAGCAAGGATAAAGTGCAAAAGAGAGTCTTGGGCACCATCTAGTGGTATGTACACTGAACAGTAGAGTGAGAATTGATGTTTTCAGTGTTACTGGAAGGATTCTAGACATCTTGTACTTGTTTTAAGGGGTTTCAGTAAGTTAAGTTCTCCCAGTGTTTTGTATTTTTTCATCATTTTTTACAGCATAATAATCATATGGAAGGTGTTTCTCCAGAATAGCATGCCTTTAAGCTTCTTAATGACATTGTTCATGACATCTCTGATTGTGTCCATCTATCTTGTTGCTGGTCATCCTCTTCCTCTTTTACCTTTTTAACTGCTCCAAACATACTCAAGTCATTTGGGTCTTCTCATAAAATGTCCAAAATAAGAACTTCAATTTGATTATCTGGGCTTTAAGTGAGAGGTGAGGATTGGTTTGGTCGAGAATCAGTTTGTTTTCTTTGCTGTCCAGGGTTAAAATTACCAGAAATATTAATATTTTCCTTGTCCTGCGAGGAACATCCTGCCATCTACCCAGAAACATTTGCTTTGGTTTAGGTTGACCCAGTATGGTGAGAGACTGTTGCTGAGAGAGCAGAGTGAGTTGAGAGTGAGAATGAGCTCATTTGTACAATGCTGGTTCCTACTACTTTGACAGACTGTTAGAAATGTAAGTAATTTTAAGTGAAAGAGTTTATGAAGCTTAAGTGTATTTCCACATTCTGCCAAAAGATGGCCGTAGTACTCAGCACATTGTGCCCTTAAATTGAATGGTTTGCCACAGAAAGTCTGTGGGCGACAAGGATTAAGCCTAGTCCTGGTGCTGCAATTACTTGTATTTGAATTTTGAAAAGATTTAAGAATTTGCCTAAAAAACAAAAAAGCAGACTTGCTTGTAAAAATGTTTAAAAATCTTAATTTTCATCTAGTGAAACATTTACATTTTACTTTTTTAGGTACTTTTATATTTTAAGTCAAGTATATTTTTGGCTTCATATTTCCTCTTAAATTTCGACAAGGTTGCACTATTCATCAGAACACCGGTACATTTCTATATGGTTACATTAGGTAGTTACATTAGCACAGTGTGTGATTCATATCAATGATAACTAAACTAAATAATGCTGGTTGTGTTCGGTAGGTCATAGCCTAATTACTGGGCAACTAAACTGTCTGTCTATTTAGCTTAGCAACAGTCTATTTAGCTTAGCAACAGTACCACCATGATATTGTCAGATAAGGAGAGGATAGACAGGCTCAACAAACAACCAAACCAGGTAAGCTAGGCGAAATTCAGAGGACACGTCAGCAAGCTATAAAGGTTACTGTGATTTGGATATTAGCTAAACATTTAGTGAATAGTAAACTTAGCAGGGTGTTTATCATAAAGACCTGATGACTAGCCAATACTGATAGTCAACTACTGTTAGTTACATTTTATATGATGTTACATTAATATGAAAACGAAAAACAAACAGATCCTACTCCGAAATTACATTGTATTATTAAGTCAACAAGAATTTACAAAAACTGTTACTTATGTACAACAGCTGAGTAACGTTACAATCTTGTGACCGGCTAAATTACCAAAGCAGTTTTGGCAGCACACACATCCAGTAATGTTTGTAAAGAGGAAACTTATCTTAGTTCTGTCAGTTCTGGCAAATGTCCAAGTCCTGAAGCAGCCAGGCATCCCCACTCTATCACACTACCACCACAATGTTAGACCACTGGTATGATCTTACCAAGAAATGCTGTAAGACCACCTTCCACTTTTGACTCATGAGTCAACAACATTTTTCCAAAAAGCTTGGGCATCGTAAAAGAGTTTTTAATTATGGTATACTGTTATCCGCTTTATATTATTATGGTTATATTGTTATCCGATTCATTCTCTTTTATTCTTATTTTTCTGCCGTTTCTTTGCCGCGTAACTCATCCCGCAGCTTTCGAGATATCAACACCGTTCCAACTCTAGATTGTCCGGCCTCATTGTGTGATGCGTGCTTGTATACAGCTTTTTGATCAGATGCGTGTAGCAAGGGAATTTTGCGGAATTTGTTCCCATAGAGAATGAATGGGGCGAACATTTGCATTCCAGTCTAAGGTACTTCTGTTTGCCCGATCAACACCGTTTTTAAAACACTATCTCAGGGCTAGCGTTAGGGTTAGGGTTAGGGTTAGTGATGTGACGTGATGTCACAATGGGCCCTTAACTCACACACCCATACAAACTCATGCACGGAGCCCAATGTCTCACATGCTCTCAGCCTAATGCTCAGCAGTGTCAGCACACATAATAATTTTTTTTAAGGTGGAACTGCTTTTAAGCTGGAATTACACTTAGGTAGCACAAAAACTAATCCATCGCCATACTCACCCACACTCCTCTTTGTGTCATTTTTTCATCCCTCGTTCCTCTCCTTGAGTCCCATTCATTTCCGCCACCACTCAAACTCTATTACTTCTTTCCCCCAACACGCACCAAAATGCATGTACTCACTCAGGGCACCGCTCCAAGCTCTAATCCACAGCCATACTGACCCACACTCCTCTTCTGTGTTTTTTTTTCATCCCTTGTTCCTCCCATAGAGTCCCATTCATTTTTACCACCACTCAAACTCTATTACTTCTTTGCCCAACACCCACCAAAATGCAAGTACTCACTCAGGGCACCACTCCAAGCTCTTATCCACAGCCATACTGACCCGCACTCCTCTGTTTCTGTATCCCTCCTTCCTCCCTTAGAATTCCATTTATTTTGGGCCAAACCATATCCCTGTTTTTTCCATTGTGCAACAGACACCGAAATGCATGGGCACATTCCCAAGC